ATATCTTCGTCGATGACTATCACTCAGTTTATGTAGCAGATTCTATGAATCGTCGTGTAATGAAATGGATGAAAAACGCCACCGAAGACCTTCTCGTTGCTCCAGTGCAAGTTTCTGATAAGAATCTCAATTCTCGACGGTATACACCCGTAGGTATACTTGTTGATCATATCGGTAATATTTATGTGTCGGATGCGCAAGGTCTACAAATAACACGTTGGTCGCCAGATACAGAGAAAGGCACTGTTATTGTTAATGACGGTGAATGGGGAAACAGACCCCCACAGCTCATGTACCCTCAAGATTTATCATTTGATCGAGAGTGTAATCTTTATGTTGTCGATTGGTTCAACCATCGAATACAAAAATTTGCTATTGATCTTGACTAAAACAGTTTTTGATGATAAAATGACTTTTAATAATTAATTATTTTTTGTCGCTTCTGATATATTTTTCATTAACAATAAATAAAGTTCATTAAAAATATAAATAATTTAATTTATCATTCATCTTATAGACCATACTCTTTTCAAATATCCATAAATTTTTTACCAATCATCACAACACAATATTTCTACGTAGAGTATGTGATAATATGGACTTGGTTGTTGAATATTTTGTATCCACAACTAATCTCTATCAATAAGCAGTTGTTTTGAATAGATCTTTTTGCCAAAGAACTATTTTGTATTAGCAAATAGAATCTTTGAGATATTGAAACTTCTATTGAGTATGACTATGAGAATTGAGTGAAGATCCTATTATCTGACATATACTGATCATCTGAATCTATTATTAATATGTTTTGCTCTTGTAGTATTCTTTCAGCATTGATTTCATGATTAACAACATAGTCACAGCAGAACTCCATATATTTCTAAATATATTTAATATAGTAAAATTACTTATTTCAGGAAGCCCTGTATTTCCTTGAAAAAAACACTGATGTTGAGTATTGTTTTTGCTAAAACCACGTTTTTATGGTAGCCAAAGCATTGTGTCTACACATTCTATCTCGAAGAGTTTGTTGGCAGTTGATTCATGCTTGATATTTACAACAGATACTAGCTTACGTATGGCAGATCTTTTTAAAATTTAATACAAAAGAAAGACCGTTAATTCATTGTTTCTATCTCAACGTTATTTTTTTTTGTTGCAAATATTTTGTATTGAAGTCACAACGTATGCGATTGAATTGTTTTCTATATGAGTGCCACTTATTGAATGCCTCTATATACAAAAAATATCAGAATGTTGATTAGAAAAGAAAAGAGAAAAAATTGTTTCTTATGAATAAAGCTTAGATTTACTTGACTTCTAATTAGGAAAAAATATCTTCACTTTCTTTCTCACTCATTTATTACATTAAAAAATTCAGCTCAAAAATATTATTTACACGAGTACTTTTCACTTTCTATTTCTTTTGCACATTTGCCTAACATTTACCGGTTCAGTTCTTGGTCGAAAGAAAAAAACAGCCAGAAGTAAAATTCAATGTCCAGATAATACTAAAACATTATTTTCTACTTATAAATGTATATAAAAACTATCTTCGTCTTATTTCATTTTATTTTTTGAATATAACATGGAATCTTATCTAAATTCGATATTCACTGACAATATAAACTACGCGATTAAGAATACGTTCAAGTTATACCACCAAAGAATTTCACTTTATAAGATAAGAATAAAAGCAAATGTTTTCATATAGAAAATAATGAAAGATAAATTTTTATTTTGGAGAATCAAAAGAAGAAAAGGGTCGATCATGATCTTTTATCATAATATAAATTATAAATATAATCACATATACTTTATTGATAAATCAAATGTCATCTGTACATTGTATTGTTAATAAGTATTCATTTATGATAATCGAAATGTTGCTGCAATCATTAAATGATCTGAAGGATGCGTTTCATCTGGATAAGATTCACTGAGAGGACGATCTGGTAATTCCAATACATTTTCTACTGTAAGATGACCATTAAAAAATATATAATCAAGTGTTTCGCAAAAGTTTGGAGTATTTTGTGTATAAGCATAATTTGTATAAGCAGGTTCAGTTCCATTCTTTTCTCGATAAGCACTTTTCAAAATTTGCTGAGTATCTGGTTGATAAGATATTTCATAAGTATTAGATTTTGGGAAAGTATAATCGGTATAATCTTTTTCAGTTAAAACTTTATAACAGATATCTCGTGGTTTGATATTAAAATCACCTGCTAGAATAAAATCTTGTCCATTGACTAATTCAAACATTAAATCTTTCACAACCGAAGAATGAATTGCCATTACATTAGGTTCTTTATACATACAAGGCATATGATATGTTCCAATATACAATGGTTTATTATCGATAAGAACTTGTAAACAAATAAGAGTATTATTTCTACCCATAGCAAGTTCCCATGGATCAATTGCGTAAAGTTTAATTTTGCTCATCATAGATTGATATAAATTCCATCCTCGTAAGAATATATTCCATGTATTTCCTTGAGATTTTTTCATTGATTTTAAGTGATCTCCCATTTTAATTATAGAAACAGTTTTTAATTGCATCGATATAGGAATTGCAATGCCTACACCCATATAATCATTGTATTGCTGACCATAAAGACTATGAGTTAATGAATAATTTAATCGACGAAAAAATAATTCGAATTTTGGAAATAAAGTAAGAGAAAGTTCTTGTAAGCAAATGATTGTGCTTTCATGATTGACGATTTCTTGTTCTAATTGAGATTCAATTAAATTCCATCGATAATCAGTTTTAAGAAATTCAGGTTGACATTTAAAAAAATATTCAGGTTGATCAGCATATATAGGTACTAAAATATTATACGATACGATTCGAACAGTCATTCTATAATAGTATCACAATAAAAGAGTGTATTGTTATTACGAAACAAAAACGTGTCTTATATAGTCATAGAAAGAAAAAATATATATGCAGATAAGGTACGTTAAGAATGAGTCATGAAATATTGAGAAAGACATAGATGACGTTACAGTACAAAGAACAGAATAGCCACGTTGCAAGTCAGTTGGCGTGCTGACAAAAATGATTTTTCGGCGATGATATACACATGATGCAACGACAAGAAAAGGAAAATAATTTTCTAAATATTTTTAATTTGCATATGATATTAAGCCTGTATAAAACACACGTGAAATTCAATAGGTACGCAAAGGATGAGTGTAAATCAACACAATATCCACGCCCTCAAAAAATCGATCATAATAAGAACAAATGTGTTACATTCTTTTCTAATTATATTGGTAATAGAAATAATGCAAAATAATTCAGCTTCGATTTATTCTTCTTATACATATTACATATATTTGTTCCCAGCATTCAATGAACATTTATGAGAGATGTATGATCTACGATCCTATATATGCAGGTATCGAACAGATTAAAATAGTGACACAAAAGTATGAACTTGTTGTTGATCTCAGCAGATTATTACAGACCACACAAATCATATCTTTCTTGTAAAATATATAAATTCTAAGTAATTTTATAATTCATTTTCATCATGAACGTCGAGTTCTGAACTAAATTAATTTTTCACATGAATATTTTGTTTTTGCTCTAGTCTGAGATTACAATTATTTCTTGCTATGATGCACATCTCAATGATTACTCTCATTATAGTAAAATATGATAAACGTGTACGAGTACTTTCTTCTCATATCTGCACACGCAAAATATTTTTCTAGTAAATTATGATATATATATATATAGCGTCAATCTTCATGATTACAAACCATTGGATGAATATTACAACGAAGATAAGCATGAAATATTTATATTGTTTAAGTTCATTTTTTATATCATTATGTTTATTTTCAAACATACAAATTGTAAATATATTTTAAATATAATATTGAATTTATTTTGAAATTAATATCTTTTTTAGGCAAATACGGATGCATGCTCTCAATACAGTTTAAGTGACTTATACTGGCTTCATTCTAATCGGTTAAAATAATACTTTTTTTCTTCTAATTCGTTTAATTTATTTACAAGTTTTTTCTAGATGTAATACATCATCGTTATCATATCCAGATTCAATATCAACACAAACAATAATAGCTATACTTAATTATCATTGGATGTTGAGGTAATTTTTTTATTTAATGTTACTAGAGAATTTTGTATATTTTTTTCCCATCCTTTCTAGTTTTCTATGTACAGCTTGTCTTTTTATTACATTTATTATCGTATTATATTTTTACAAACAACAGAAACATGCACAATCTTCAAAAGTTGCTCGTAAGAATGATGTCTTTTCTTTAAAATCTCATATCTTTCCTAATTTAGCTGCTAATGTTATTATCACTTCTTCTACATCACAAATTGATGACTTAAATGATCCAATTAGTTTTGTTCAATTATCACTACCACCACCTTATACAAGCGTATTTACAAACATCTCGGAATAGAACTATTTATCTACAGAGAATCTTATAATCTGCTTTTTTAGATCTTTTTTGCAAGTTGCTACTCTATCAATAATTGCATTTTAAATAAAAAATATGATGAAAAGAATTATTATTATTCGATAAACGAATTTTTTTCTCAATCATGCACATATATTATGTATATGATGTTGAAGATTAGACAAGATTGAAAAATACTGAAGGTGTAAGTGAGGATAAGACAAGATCTCACATTACAAAACTTGATTTGCGTTTTTCTCAGAAGGCGAATCTCATGACGAGACAAGCGTTATTGTTTAAATTATTTATTTTGCCTCGTTTAATGAGTGTTCTTATGAGCTAACTATATGTTTTTGATGCCAGCATGATTAATCTTTTACATTTTCTGCCTAGCAAAAAAAGTATTTCAAGCAGAAAAACAGACAATATATTTTCCCTGTTACCCATTCATGATCTATGGCTAAATTCAATTCATATTAAGGTAATTCCGTATGTATTTTATTTCTATCTATTGTTGAATTGAAAATTCGATATAAAAAAGAATTCAGCGATTAAGAAGCTTCTTCACTTAATCGAATATACTCGTCCTGTAAGGTGATTTGGTTTGCCACAGAATACATTAAAGCTAAGCAGACTTTCTTATGGTCTTCTTTCAATAAGTTCAATACACCTTCATCTTCACAGTATGAACACAGTTCTTCAATATACTTCATTCCAGCTATTAATAATTCACGATCGAGTGCATCGTGAGTGATAATATCCCTAATTTTTTTTGTATAGCGTTTTGTCCATGCTTGTAAATATTTTTTGTCACTAGAAGATGGACAAAAGATAATAATATGATTTAAATGGTCGGGTATAGCGTTATTATTCCAAAGCCATGTTAATATATTACCAATGTAAGAGAATAAAGTGAATGTTTTAACAGTATTCGTGTTTATATAATTTTGACAACGGGGCATATTATCGAAAGGCTGAATAAATCTCATTAAATGTACGTTATCTAAATGAATAGCCATAGATGGTTCATTCATTTGGTAAAGTATAAGCATCCAATGATGAGCTTGTGAATATAAGGTACTATCGAAATCGATATTGGCTATTGTTTGCATCTAGAACGACATGAAAAAAGAAAGAAATATGATCATTTGAAAAAAAAAAAGAATTTGTATTTGTTCAAAATTTTAAGAAAAGTTCACACAATTTCTGTACTTTTAGAAACATTTCTTTTGCATTTGTTGAATCGCTTTCATCATTATATTCATTACCCAACTTATTGTAATGAGCAATTAGATCATATGCTAATCGAGAACGAAGATTATTGAAACTATTTTTAATGCCATTTTTTGTGGCACCTGATTGATCATAACGATACACTTGCTTGATAATGGGAAGTTTTTCAAACTGAGTCGAAACTGAACTTCCGTAAGTACTATCAATAATAAGAAATATCGTATGATTACATTCAGTTGTCTGCACACGCTGATAGCATTCCTGCTCATTGTCACAAGTTGAAAAAGATGAAATAACATTTACAAATAGATTTCGAACTTTTGAAATGTCATTGCCATTTTCATTGTAAAACTTTGGTATTAACCAAATGAGTGATGTCGTTGTACAGATTGGTAGTTTGTTGTGAGTATCATTTGCAGAAAACTTTTGATAAACTTTTTTCAGTTCGCTATGAATTTGATTTCTTAGTTTTTCTTTTTCTTCGGACAATAAGTGATCATCTAATCTTGGATAATCATCCACTTTCCATTTGTAATAACGGCATATTTCATCTGCCAATTGAAAGATAAGATCTTCGCTATCGATAAATCGTTTCCATTGGTCTACGTTACTCTTTTTCTCTTCTAGTATAAATATTTTCTTAAGCTGTTTAGGTTTTTCTATCATTGAAGAAACAAACTGGCTCGTGGTAAATAGTAGAATTGTCTTGTCCGGTAATGTATCAAAATCAACGTCTGAATTGTCGAGCATGAGTATAGGATTATTTTCTAGTGAACGTAGAACATTCAGCATGGCGAATGCTAATTTACTGAGATGCATCGATAAATTGACAAGAACAAATTGAACATTGTCCCAAGAAACTAAATGCATTAGAAATGAAATGGCTAGAAAACACAAGTAACTAAAATCCATTTTAAAAAAAAATGCAGTTCACGAAAATGCTTATAACTTTTGAAGGGAACAGAATAGAGACCTGCGCTTTTCACCATTGAATGGATCTTGATACGAGACGTAATACTATCGGGTAGCCAAGCATTTTGAAAGGGTTCACAATAGTGCACTTTTGTATGCAAGCTTGAGAAAATTATCATGTTTCAAGGGCACGATGAACTCCAACCCTTAATTAGTACAATCAATAGCCCGAATCAAGATCTACAACTCTAAACAAAACCTCAGACCTCTATCTGTTATGGTTGAAGAGTTATAAACATTTTTCGGAAAGGTATATATTTCTTTTTCGGTCATAGAAGATACCAAAAAATCAGTAGTACTCTGAGATTTTGATCGCTTTTACTTACTTTTTA